GATCTGCCTCTGTGGAGGAGGCTCGTGAAGGATGCTACTGGGCATTTTTGAGGCAGTCACCCTTCCAAAAACAGTGGCGGGCAGTTGTTGTGTGGGGAAGTGGTTGTGTGGTGGTTCGCGCACTGTACTACAAACCCAGCACACTTGAGTTCAATTCCCAGCCATGGCTACCATCAGTGGCAGGTGATATCTGAGCCAGTCCTATTCCTTCCCGAGGTTAATTAAACATCAAATGAGTACCCAGTGGGCTGTGTAAACATCTGCACGCGGCAGAGGCTATTACAAGGCTATAGGGGCATCTTTGTCTTCCTGTGTGTATGTGCCCGTGTGTGTTGATGGATGTGTGTGTTGCGCGTATGTGGCCCTGTGTGTGTGTATGGGGAGCGACAGTGTAGCGGTTAGTGCGCTGGACTACAAACTTGGCGACCCGAGTTCGATTATACACTGGTCTACAGCCATGCTTCCAAAATAAATGTCGTCCAACTTTACTAATTCTCGGTCACTAAGAATGAAAATGACGCTTAAACTTACTCATTGTTTTTTTCGGTAAAGTCACTTATGTAGAAATACAATAAATTATATTAAAACAAAAAACAATCACGACGTTTCGATCACAACGCAAGCGATCTTCATCAGGTGTCAAGAACAAATCACGGAGGTAAATACAACAAAAAGATGAGAGACGAGAATTCAACAAACCTGAAAAAACATTATGTGAAGCACATCCAGTCAGGCCAACAACACAGTTAGACACTTCCTGGCGGACCACGAATTTCAGAAGAGTGTTAAATTTCGTGTTCAACCTTTGGATTGCACATACCAGCATAGATAGAATGAAAAATACGAGGTACACGGTCAGTAGAAATACATATACAAGTCCACCAAGAGGTAAGGAGGGAGAAAAGACGGACAGGGAGGCAGAGAGAGAGGAGGGGGGGCCGGAGGGATGAACAGAAGCTTAAATAGGAAATACGGTTGGAGGGGGGGAGGGGCCAGAGCGAGAGCGGCAGCTCAAACACGCACATCTTACACATAATATAATTTTATTGTATTTCTACATACGTGACTTTACCGAAAAAAACAATGAGTAATTTTATGCAGTCACGAAAGCTTTAATACTTTACGCTTAAACTTGTTGATTGGCTCAAGTTTTCAAGATATGCTACTGGGTTAGTATATACGACACTTGACTTGGGAATGGTGGAGGATAAGTGAGTTATAAAGGGAAGGGATCTCATTTTAAACCAGAAATGACTAAAATACATCTTTGACTGGATCTATGAATAAATCTATGACTGGGTTTGGACAGGACTTGCTTTTTGAGCAAAACAATGAATGATGCAATCTGAACCCCTGGTATTGCGTCATACATTTTATGAATTGCATCATGTTATTCCTAGAAGTCATGGATGATGAAAGCATAACTAGGCTTACATCCCTCTACTGAACAAATTGCCCTATATCAGCTCTAGAAATCATACAGTGTTGTGCTCTCGTATTTGTCAATGTTTGATTTTGCAAAGGGACACAATTCTTTTTAGCCAAAGTGAGCAGAGATGCCTTGTAATTGTGTGAACAAAGCAGATGACTTCTGCTTTGTTTGTGGTGAAGGGACTTTTGCATCGCAAAAGCACAGTATAACCACTATGGTTAAGAAAGCCTATCACATACTCTTTGGTTCTTTCGGTAAAGTCACGTAGATATCAAATAAAATAACTCACGACGTTTCGGGTGCAACACAAGCGTCATCAGGTGGGAAAGCTATGGATTCCTGCAGTCACGAAAGCTTCAAATAAAAAAAGCCTATCACCTTCATTTTGGCTGCAAAATTGGAGATCAGGATAAGATGTGGGCCCCACACATATGCTGCAACACTTGTGCAACAAATATTCGCCAGTGGTTGAACATGAAAAGGAAATCTATGCCTTTTGCAGTGCCAATGATTTGGAGAGAGTCAAAGGATCATATCAGCGATTGTTACTTCTGCATGGTGCCTCCAGTTGGGAAAGGTGTGTCAAAGAAGAAAAAGTGGACTGTGCATTATCCAAACATTCCATCAGCTATATGCTCAGTACCCCACGGAGAAGGACTGCCGGTTCCTGATGCACCAGAATCAATCTCACTTGAGTTAGACGAGGAAGAGGATGAAACTTCTGGTCCTGAACCATCAAGGTCACATGACCCAGATTTTCGCCCATCCTCCTCTGAACCGTACCTCATAACACAAGGTGACCTTGTCAGGGATTTGGAACTGTCCAAGAGTAAGGCAGAGCTGTTGGGCTCCAGATTGTAGCAGTGGAATCTCCTGGCAGGTGATGTTAGGGTTTTCATGTTCCGTGACCATCAAAAGGATCTTATCCCCTTCTTCTTCATGCAAGGTGATCTTGTAGCCTGCAACAACATCGTTGGTGTGATGGCAGCCCTCAACATCGTTCATGATCCAGATGAGTGGAGACTGTTAATTGATTCATCGAAGATGAGTCTTAAAGCTGTTTTGCTGCATAATGGCAATGTTTTGCCATTAATTCCAGTTGGTCATGCAGTCGATATGAAGGAAACCTATGACAACATGAAACAAGATTTGAGGTGCATAAACTATGACCCAACATCAGTGGCAGCTATGAGGCGATTTGATGGTTGTTGCTCTCTTGCTTGGTCTGCAGACTGGATACACAAAGTACTGCTGCTTTCTCTGCGAATGGGATAGTCGCGTGAGAGATTCCCACTACATCAAGATAGATTGGCCACTCCCACAGTCATTGGAGCCTGGGAGGGAGAGTGTTCAGCATCCACCACTTGTTGAATAAAAGAATATTGTATTACCACCCTTACACATCAAGCTGGGTCTGATGAAGAAATTTGTCAAAGCCATGGACAACACACAAGCAGCTTTCAAGTACCTCCGTGGAAATCGTCCAAGGTTAAGTGAAGCTAAGATAAAGAAAGGTGTCTTTGTTGGTCCTCAGATTCGTGAACTTCTTCGAGATGATGCATTTGACAGTGCATTACATGGCAAGGAAAAGACGGCATGGAACACCTTCCAGTAAGTGGCAACAAATTTTCTCAGAAACAACAAGGCAGACAACTACAGGGAGTTGGTGGAAAACCTCAACAAGTCACTAAAGATACATTTTTTTGCACTCTCCTCTAGATGTTTTCCCACCGAACTGCGGAGCAGTGAGCAACGAGCATGGCGAGCGATTTCACCAGGACATTGCAACAATGGAGAAACGCTATCAGGGCAAATGGAGCCCATCAATGTTTGCAGACTATTGCTGGACAGTGTCAAGAGATGCTCCATTTAATGAATACAATAGACAAGCCAATAAGCGCCGAGTAGACACTGAATTAGGACTAAACTATGTACTTATATAGACACATAATAGTTTTTGTCTTTTGTTTCATAATACATTTTATTGATATAACCCTTTAGCTGATTTTAAAGTGTTACATGAACAGGACAGGTGACATTTGATCATGTAAATCAACCATAAACACATGAAAAGACCTAGGTTTACAATTTATGAGTAAAACTCTATCTACACAATATACATAGATGTAAAATGTAAAAACGTAAATATCTTGGGAACAGTTGCCAATCAGTTATTTTAATTGCCATATTTGAATTCAGCACATCAACATCCATAATTAACAGCACATTTAATCTCTGAAGCAGACGACGTCTAAAGAATTGTAGACGGCCAACACCAGTGGCGATTATCTGAACCGGTCCTGGGCATGCCCTAGATCGACTCAGCCTCAAATAAGCACCTGGTATAGTGTGTAGACATCACCACTGGGGAGGCATAGGCGGCCGGGTGTGGTGTTGGCCACCCGCCCCCTCATGTGCCGTGCCGGTCTTCATCGGTGCTCTCGAACAGCACTTGCCCAAAAGTCTTTGTAAAGGCTATAACAGGGGAAGTTTGTCTTTGTTGCATGTGCGTGAGTATCGACACAGTCTGTAAGTGCGTGTGATGGGCTCTTACCGACTTCCGAAGCTCCGACATGAGCACAGTGGATTGCTTTTGAATCAATCACGAATGTTGACTCACCCCGCCGCTCCATTGACGCCCCGTGGTGAAGCTCTGGGCGCACGGTGACAACCGACAGTTTGAGGCTTCGTGTCAGAGGTGCTCATTGGCGCATTTAATCTCAACACGTTCTCAGCATCAGAGGGTGGGAAACTTTTTTTAATGATATCGATGGATTTAGGTTATTAAAATGTTATTGTATTTTTTTGGATATCTTTTGATAATTTACCGCGTCCTTCTAATAAGAGGGATGATGCAAAACCTCCGATTAAGCGTGGTTGGCTTGGAACGGTGCGAAAGACGGTCAACGCACGTACAGGACACACATGGATCAGTGGTCATGCCGAGTCGGAGCGTCATCGCTCCACCCGATCGCACGCCTCCGTATCGAACTGAAAGTTTTGTTTTCAGATTGTCCAGAATATTCACTTGTGATATCCGAATTTGAAAATCGGGAACACATCCCCTTAGTACGCGTGTGTGAGTGTGTGTACGCGTGCGCATCCGGAATGTCGCGTGGCTCAATGAGCTTAGTTAATTGCTGCAATGTGGAATATTCTGTTTCCATGACGGTGAGCGGAGATGCTGAAAAATAAAACCGTCACCAAATCGTTTTTTCTCGCAGAAGCAAAAGCGGCGTTAAAGCGGCCAATCCACACGCGTGGAGTTGGCGCCTCTGCAAAGGCTTTGATAAGCAGCTTACGCCGATGCATGTGTGGCTTCTTATTTCCCATGGGCTCACACGCCCGCATACAAATAAACCTACACGCACACACATACACACACTCGTGTACAAACACACACACACACACCTACACGCGCACACACATACACACACTCGCGTACAAAAACACACACACCTACACGCGCACACATATACACACACTCGCGTACAAACACACACCTACACGCGCACACGCACGCACACACACCTGATAACATGCAAACGTACATGGAACGCGCACCCAGCACCCAATCCAGGGCTTCTGGAAGTCCGTGGCCACGCAGGTCCCGAGGAGACCAGAGGACATCCGCATCCTCAACCCGTACTTCATCCGAGAGGCTGCCTTCACCTTCATCGGCCTTCCTGTCAACAATGGCATGATGGGCCACGGGGTGAGTGTGGCCTCGGGGGGGGGGGGGGGGGGCTCACACAGTGTCCGAGGCACGGGGTGGCTCGACGCCCTACCAAACCGACGCACGACAAGCAGCTGAACGAGACCACCCTGCGCCAGCCGTGACCCCGTCTCCCCACGTATGTGCATCTCCGTGTCCCCCACATTCCCACGTCCTCATATCTTCTTTCATTTTGAGACGGGTTTGCAAACTGAACACCCCAGCCCCCTTTTTCCCTCCCCCCCCCCCCCCCCCCGAAAAAGAATCGGAAAATCGCTTGAAGACTTGAAGAATCTTTCCTGCAAAAAGAATTCACACGTTGTGTTGTGCATTTTCCGTGTTTGCTGGTCTAAGTGTGTATTTAGTGAACTCTGCATCTCTGCTGGTCTAAGCGTGTGTCTAGTGAACTCAGCGTGTCTGCTGGTCTAAGTGTGTGTCTAGTGAACTCAGCGTGTCTGCTGGTCTAAGCGTGTGTCTAGTGAACTCAGCGTATCTGCTGGTATAAGTGTGTGTCTAGTGAACTCAGCGTATCTGCTGGTCTAGGTGTGTGTCTAGTGAAACTCAGCGTGTCTGCTGGTCTAAGTGTGTGTCTAGTGAACTCAGCGTGTCTGCTGGTCTATGTGTGTGTCTAGTGAACTCAGCGTGTCTGCTGGTCTAAGTGTGTGTTTAGTGAACTCAGCGTGTCTGCTGGTCTACGTGTGTGTCTTGTGAACTCAGCGTGTCTGCTGGTCTAAGTGTGTGTCTAGTGAACTCAGCGTGTCTGCTGGTCTAAGCGTGTGTGTAGTGAACTCAGCGTGTCTGCTGGTCTAAGTGTGTGTTTAGTGAACACAGCATGTCTGCTGGTCTAAGTGCGTGTCTAGTGAACTTAGCGTGTCTGTTGGTCTAAGTGTGTGTCTAGTGAACTCAGCGTGTCTGCTGGTCTAAGTGTGTGTCTAGTGAACTCAGCGTGTCTGCTGGTCTAAGTGTGTGTCTAGTGAACTCAGCGTGTCTGCTGGTCGAATTGTGTGTTTAGTGAACTCAGCGTGTCTGTTGGTCTAAGCGTGTGTTTAGTGAACTCAGCCTGTCTGCTGGTCTACGTGTGTGTCTTGTGAACTCAGCGTGTCTGCTGGTCTAAGTGTGTGTCTAGTGAACTCAGCGTGTCTGCTGGTCTAAGTGCGTGTCTAGTGAACTCGGCGTGTCTGTTGGTAGAATTGTGTGTCTAGTGAACTCAGCGTGTCTGCTGGTATACGTGTGTGTCTAGTGAACTCAGCGTGTCTGCGGTCTAAGTGTGTGTCTAGTGAACTCAGAGTGTCTGCTGGTCTAAGTGTGTGTTTAGTGAACTCAGCGTGTCTGCTGGTCTATGTGTGTGTTTAGTGAACTCGGCGTGTCTGCTGGTCTAAGTGTGTGTCTAGTAAACTCTGCGTGTCTGCTGGTCTAAGTGTGTGTCTAGTGAACTCAGCGTGTCTGCTGGTCTAAGTGTGTGTCTAGTGAACTCAGCGTGTCTGCTGGTATAAGTGTGTGTCTAGTGAACTCAGCGTGTCTGTTGGTCTATGTGTGTGTCTAGTGAACTCAGCGTGTCTGCTGGTCTAAGTGTGTGTTTAGTGATCTCAGCGTGTCTCCTGGTCTAAGTGTGTGTCTAGTGAACTCAGCATTTCTACTGGTCTACGTGTGTGTCTTGACTAACTCAGCGTGTCTGCTGGTCTAAGTGTGTGTTAAGTGAACTCAGCGTGTCTGCTGGTCTAAGTGCGTGTCTAGTGAACTCAGCGTGTCTGCTGGTCTAAGTGTGTGTCTAGTGAACTCAGCGTGTCTGCTGGTCTAAGTGCGTGTCTAGTGAACTCAGCGTGTCTGCTGGTCTAAGTGTGTGTCTAGTGAACTCAGCGTGTCTCCTGGTCTAAGTGTGTTTCTAGTGAACTCAGCGTGTCTGCTGGTCTAAGTGTGTGTTTAGTGAACTCAGCATGTCTGCTGGTCTAAGTGCGTGTCTAGTGAACTTAGCGTGTCTGTTGGTCTAAGTGTGTGTCTAGTGAACTCAGCGTGTCTGCTGGTCTAAGTGTGTGTCTAGTGACCTCAGCGTGTCTGCTGGTCTAAGTGCGTGTCTAGTGAACTCAGCGTGTCTGCTGGTCTAAGTGCGTGTCTAGTGAACTCAGCGTGTCTGTTGGTCTAAGTGTGTGTCTAGTGAACTCAGCGTGTCTGCTGGTCTAAGTGCGTGTCTAGTGAACTCAGCGTGTCTGCTGGTCTAGGTGTGTGTTTAGTGAACTCAGCGTGTCTGCTGGTCTAAGTGTGTGTCTAGTGACCTCAGCGTGTCTGCTGGTCTAAGTGCGTGTCTAGTGAACTCAGCGTGTCTGCTGGTCTAAGTGCGTGTCTAGTGAACTCAGCATGTCTGCTGGTCTAGGTGTGTGTTTAGTGAACTCAGCGTGTCTGCTGGTCTAAGTGTGTGTCTAGTGAACTCGGCGTGTCTGCTGGTAGAATTGTGTGTCTAGTGAACTCAGCGTGTCTTCTGGTATACGTGTGTGTCTAGTGAACTCAGCGTGTCTGCGGTCTAAGTGTGTGTCTAGTGAACTCAGCGTGTCTGCTGGTCTAAGTGTGTGTTTAGTGAACTCAGCGTGTCTGCTGGTCTATGTGTGTGTTTGTGAACTCGGCGTGTCTGCTGGTCTAAGTGTGTGTCTAGTAAACTCTGCGTGTCTGCTGGTCTAAGTGTGTGTCTAGTGAACTCAGCGTGTCTGCTGGTCTAAGTGTGTGTCTAGTGAACTCGGCATGTCTGCTGGTATAAGTGTGTGTCTAGTGAACTCAGCGTGTCTGTTGGTCTATGTGTGTGTCTAGTGAACTCAGCGTGTCTCCTGGTCTAAGTGTATGTTTAGTGAACTCAGCGTGTCTGCTGGTCTACGTGTGTGTCTTGTGAACTCAGCGTGTCTGCTGGTCTAAGTGTGTGTCTAGTGAACTCAGCGTGTCTGCTGGTCTAAGTGCGTGTCTAGTGAACTCAGCGTGTCTGTTGGTCTAAGTGTGTGTCTAGTGAACTCAGCGTGTCTGCTGGTCTAAGTGTGTGTCTAGTGAACTCAGCGTGTCTGCTGGTCTAAGTGTGTGTTTAGTGAACTCAGCGTGTCTGCTGGTCTATGTGTGTGTTTAGTGAACTCAGCGTGTCTGCTGGTCTTAGTTTGTGTCTAGTGAACTTAGCGTGTCTGCTGGTCTAAGTGTGTGTCTATTAAACTCTGCGTCTCTACTGGTCTAAGTGTGTTTCTATTGAACTCTGCATCTCTGCTGGTCTAAGTGTGTGTTTAGTGAACTCAGCGTGTCTGCTGGTCTAAGTGTGTGTCTAGTGAACTCGGCGTGTCTGCTGGTCTAAGTGAGTGTGTCTAGTGAACTCAGCGTGTCTGCTGGTCTAAGTGTGTGTTTAGTGAACTCGGCGTGTCTGTTGGTCTAAGTGTGTGTCTAGTGAACTCAGCGTGTCTGCTGGTCTAAGTGTGTGTCTAGTGAACGAAGCGTGCCTTCTGGTCTAAGTGTGTGTCTAGTGAACTGTCTGTGTCTGCTGGTCTAAGTGTGTATCTTATGAACTCTGCGTGTCTGCTGGTCTAAGTGTATGTCTAGTGAACTGTCCGTGTCTGCTGGTCTAAGTGTATGTTTAGTGAACTCAGCGTGTCTGCTGGTCTACGTGTGTGTCTTGTGAACTCAGCGTGTCTGCTGGTCTAAGTGTGTGTCTAGTGAACTCAGCGTGTCTGCTGGTCTAAGTGTGTGTTTAGTGAACTCAGCGTGTCTGCTGGTCTATGTGTTTGTCTAGTGAACTCAGCGTGCCTGCTGGTCTAAGTGTGTGTCTATTGAACTCAGCGTGTCTGCTGGTCTAAGTGTGTGTTTAGTGAACTCAGCGTGTCTGCTGGTCTATGTGTGTGTTTAGTGAACTCGGCGTGTCTGCTGGTATAAGTGTGTGTCTTTTAAACTCTGTGTCTCTACTGGTCTAAGTGTGTGTCTATTGAACTCTGCATCTCTGCTGGTCTAAGTGTGTGTTTAGTGAACTCAGCGTGTCTGCTGGTCTAAGTGTGTGTCTAGTGAACTCGGCGTGTCCTGCTGGTCTAAGTGTGTGTCTAGTGAACTCAGCGTGTCTGCTGGTCTAAGTGTGTGTTTAGTGAACTCGGCGTGTCTGTTGGTCTAAGTGTGTGTCTAGTGAACTCAGCGTGTCTGCTGGTCTAAGTGTGTGTCTAGTGAACGAAGCGTGCCTTCTGGTCTAAGTGTGTGTCTAGTGAACTGTCTGTGTCTGCTGGTCTAAGTGTGTATCTTATGAACTCTGCGTGTCTGCTGGTCTAAGTGTATGTCTAGTGAACTGTCCGTGTCTGCTGGTCTAAGTGTGTGTCTAGTGAACTCAGCGTGTCTCCTGGTCTAAGTGTATGTTTAGTGAACTCAGCGTGTCTGCTGGTCTACGTGTGTGTCTTGTGAACTCAGCGTGTCTGCTGGTCTAAGTGTGTGTCTAGTGAACTCAGCGTGTCTGCTGGTCTAAGTGTGTGTTTAGTGAACTCAGCGTGTCTGCTGGTCTATGTGTTTGTCTAGTGAACTCAGCGTGCCTGCTGGTCTAAGTGTGTGTCTATTGAACTCAGCGTGTCTGCTGGTCTAAGTGTGTGTTTAGTGAACTCAGCGTGTCTGCTGGTCTATGTGTGTGTTTAGTGAACTCGGCGTGTCTGCTGGTATAAGTGTGTGTCTATTAAACTCTGTGTCTCTACTGGTCTAAGTGTGTGTCTATTGAACTCTGCATCTCTGCTGGTCTAAGTGTGTGTTTAGTGAACTCAGCGTGTCTGCTGGTCTAAGTGTGTGTCTAGTGAACTCGGCGTGTCTGCTGGTCTAAGTGTGTGTCTAGTGAACTCAGCGTGTCTGCTGGTCTAAGTGTGTGTTTAGTGAACTCGGCGTGTCTGTTGGTCTAAGTGTGTGTCTAGTGAACTCAGCGTGTCTGCTGGTCTAAGTGTGTGTCTAGTGAACGAAGCGTGCCTTCTGGTCTAAGTGTGTGTCTAGTGAACTGTCTGTGTCTGCTGGTCTAAGTGTGTATCTTATGAACTCTGCGTGTCTGCTGGTCTAAGTGTATGTCTAGTGAACTGTCCGTGTCTGCTGGTCTAAGTGTGTGTCTAGTGAACTCAGCGTGTCTGCTGGTCTAAGTGTATGTTTAGTGAACTCGGCGTGTCTGTTGGTCTAAGTGTATGTCTAGTGAACTCAGCGTGTCTGCTGGTCTAAGTGTGTGTCTAGTGAACTCAGCGTGTCTGCTGGTCTAGATGTGT